CAAACGGCTGATGTGGCTCTTGAGTCGTTATGCTATATATATTGTAAAGTTTAGTAATGTAAATTCTATTTATGCATTAGATTTTAATTAATAATCTGTTGCAGTGTAACTTGGAAACGTTGGGTTTGATCTGCAGTGGATTGTGGGAAACCTCAGAGCTCCTTACTGCTGGATAGGAACATGGATCTATTAAAATAAGGAACATCCTGAGCTTCTTCTGTTAAGAGTTCATGGTTATGGTTATCGTCTGGATAACAGAGTTAATGCAAAGATGAGCTTGTGTTGAGTTGTTTTATTTATGATTGAAACAAAGCAAATATGTTTTATTTCTTTTATTTGACAGTTAAATTATTATTTATGTAATTAGGGTTTTTTGTAATCTTAAATGTTCCTGTATGAACTGCCGACCTCTTACACTTTTATTTAAAAAAAAAAGGATCTTGTGGAATTTGGCATATTTGTTTTTGCAGTTTTCCGTTTTAGGGGGTTATTTTTTCCTGTACAGATATCGAGATATATATCTTATATCGAGATATAGCAAAATATATCGAGATATATATATATATATTTTTTTTTCCATTAAAGTTTATTGGAGACAAAAGGAACAATATATATCATACATTGACACAGCATTTCAATTATAGTCCTTTCTCCTTTTTTTTTTAAAGTAAATAAAGTCATTGTATTTACATTAGAGAATTTATCAAGAGATATATTTTTTGATCCATATCGCCCAGCCCTACTAGATACTCATGTGAGCAAGTATCAGTACTGAAGTCACAATCACAGGACAGAAATGAACCTTTCGTTAGTAGCTTTAGAATGATCATGAGTTGTATCAAAACAAGTTTAAAACCACATAGGCTAGTATACGCACATGGACCACTCTAGAACATATCTGTTTAATCTGTCAGTCATCCAGGTAGACCGGATGGTAATATAAAAGAAAGTACTATGATTTAATGTTAAAATCATTGTATATTGTCTAATTAAAGAGTGTTTTTAATATGATTAGGTATCTGAATTTATATGGCATATTGAGTATTGCCTAGTCTCAAAATCTTAGTATTGTGACACTTCTACTTCTACTATACTTGTATTTGTTAAACTTCATATCTAGCTTCAATATTTAGTTTTTATCAGTTAATCTGAGTAGCTTTTTTGACAACACTACATTAAGCAAAAGGAAAAGTAGCCTCTTTCACTGACAATCTCTAATGTGCCCATGTTAAATAGAGTGCATCCTGTATTGTGACTACATACGGGGCAGCAAGATCAGATTTCTGATTCTACCAGACATGCTGAAAAATGCCCCCATGTTAAAGAGCATGAAAAACAAAAACCAGGGATCTGGAGCTGGAAGAGGCAAAGCAGCTATTCTAAAAGCACAGGTGGCTGCACGTGGTCGAGGCCGTGGAGGAATCAGCAGAGGCAACATTTTCAAAAGAGGAGATAAACCACTCTGGATGTTCTTTCCTTTGTTATATAGACGTGTGGAGGACGTGGTGAAGTTCCCCGGCCTGCCTCCCCGTCGACAGCTCACGTACCAGGCCAAGCAGACAGTGAGTAGGGAGATGGAGCAGGAGAAGATGAGGAGAGCTGAGCAGCTGCTGCAGAGGAGGAACCCAGCACTGGTGAGAGTCTGAATTTACTACTACTTCCATTTTGAGTTATTGTGTATATCTGTCCCTATTCAAATAAACAATAAAATAAATAAATTATATAGTTTGAGTATTATTTCCAGAGAAAACGCTATGTGAAATGAATAGAGTATATATACTGTATATTTAGTACCGTTTACATTGCATGGTGTAAGGAGCATTTATTGTGATAAGAATAATCTGTCATTATATAAATACATTATTTCCTAGCGTCTTTTTCTGCAGTAGTTGTTTTTGCATGAACTTCCGTGCAGGTGTAGTCTCGTGAGTGCAGTTTGGGTCAGATACATTGACATATGTAATAGTTTTGAGAGCTTTTGCCACACCTCTTTATTTAACTAACTGATGAGCAGGACATTTCTTTAGAAGCAGCAACAAACAAGCTACAGCCCTAAAATGTATGCATGTTTTTTTGTTTACAGAAAGAGGATGAAAAGGAGAAAAAAACTGAAACTCCCCAAACAACAAAGAATCATCAGCAGAGACTGGAAAACATCGTCAAACAGACCACAGTGGAGACCAGGGTAAGATACTAACTACTACATTCAACAACTCAATAGCAGTATAATGGCATACATGTTTTAATTGATTTGCTATAAAAATGTACTTTCCGTTTATTCTTGGTGAATGGTGATTGAGGGAAATATTTGAGAAATGTTATCTGTGTATATTCGTAGCAGTTTGTTGTTTGTGTACTGAGCTAAATTAATGAGTACTGTAAAAACAGTCAGGATAGTACTTTGTTCAGGCCTGTACCTGATTGTATTTTATTCATGACAACATAAATGCTCTTTACATCATATATTAACAAAGTAAATTGTAAATTATAATCTATTCATTTTACATACTATTTTAGCATCCAATTAAGCACGTTGTTACTATAATTCATGTTTCTGAGAATCATGGGAAACAACTTTCTGACACTATCCCAGACACTTGGTTCTTGGCAATGGTAAATTTTCAAGAGTTACCAAATTACAAGTTGTACATGGCTTTATAATACATGAAATAACATGTAGTAGTAATATTTTCCCTCTAGATGGAGCCACAGAGGAAAAGCTCTTCCAGTTGCTGATTGACAGGTGTCTAAAATGTAGAACATGAAGAACAGTGAAGGTCCTCCAGAGAGGCAAATGAGGACAATGACGCTCCAGGCCGCAAACCAGGCTAATCACTATGTGCTTTTGTGAATTTGTCCGACTTTCTTTGGAACTAACCTGATTTTAGGGAGGGTTTGAGAACAGTCTGTTTGTTTTTAAATGTCTAATATCTGTTTTTTTGTCCTACAGCCAGAGGTGGACTTCTTTGGTCGAGCAGTGGGCCCCAAACTGGAGAAAAAGAAGTCGGACTCGGGTAGGATGGATTTGACTGATTTTAAAAGGGAAAATACTGATCATCTTTGCTGAAATACATGACATTCCTAAAAACCCGATACAACATCATTGACAACAATTGCAGCATTCCAACATTCTATAGGCGTGTAGGGTTTTATTGACATGGGAGCATTGCTGTTAACCTGCAGATTATATGGAAAAGTTGAAATATTGTTGTCACTAATATAAATGATGCATTTGAACATTTGAAGTAGAAATAGTCTGTAATTCTATTAAAATAATCTGCAGTATGTCCATGGCATCATCATGTTTGGTTCGTTTGGGCCTTTTCACCTTGGCTTTTGTGATTGGTCATCCAGTTTCTCAAGCCCAAGAGTAGGAGTTTTTTGTGATCTTGTGAACTTGCGTATATTACGGGAATTCATCTTTCTGTGCAAGGTATATTTTTACTGAAATTAATAACTGAAACAGGAATCATTGTTTCTGCCCTGTCACATCACACAGTCTTTTATTTTGGTATAACTAAAATGCATCAAAATATAATTAGCTCCATTAAGGATTTAATCTTGTGTTCTCTGTTGTATATAGTGACACACAGAACATACATACACATGTATGCTCATTCACACTCATTCACATTCATAGTGCTGACACTGCTGATGGAGCAGGGAGCCATGCACTCAGGGGCCACGCGCTGTACAGGAGACCAGCACTCTGTGTTATGTACCAACACTGAGCTAAAGGACAAGTTAATCTCCCAATGTACACACTACCACCTGCTGACTCTCTACCCCTGACAGATACCTGTTGGTTTTCTCATTAGATATTAAAAGCTTTTTCATAAGTAATGAAAGGCTTGCAGTTAGCTGTAAATGCACAATATTTGTATTATGCCAGATTGACTTGAATGTTCTTGAATATTCTACAGTTTTGCATATCTCTCCCGCTCACAATACTACCAGTGCACTAATCCATGGAGCTTCCTCATGTTTGCAGTTGACCAAACTATCTCAAACTCAAACTTTACGGGTTAAGTGGACATTGTGTTTAGCTTGTTACAAACTGCTTTCTTTTTAACTGAGTCAGTGAAGCAGTCTTCTCTGCTCCAAAAACCAAAGCAAAGGTGCTGAAAGTATTTTTTAAAAGTCTGAGAATAAACGCAAAAGGCAATATATGAGGTTTATAAAAGACTGTGATGGGCTGATTGACATGGTTGGTTAGGGGCCTCTGAATAGGTGCTTACTTGATGCAACTACTTGAAGAAAATATTAAACATTGAAAAATCATGAACGTCTATAACCTCACCCTTCACAACCCTTTAAAATGTTATGTTATAATATAGTATATATTATGTGTTATAATATTTCATCATCAAAAACAGACCTGGAGTTGTGTTTTGTTTCATTCACACATGTGTAACTCACAAATTCTGCATATTTAGACTGAGTTCTTCTCTCAAACAGAAAACACTCAGTCACACCTTGTGATGTCATGTGGTACAGGTACATAATGGAAGTGCTCCACTATGATTTTAAACTCCATACTCCTTTACTGAAATCATTTACATAATTTGAGCCCTGCAGTTGTCAATCTCAGTATGTACAAAGTAGCTCTTAATTTGAAAATCTCTACATGACATCACCAGGTGGAAACAGTTTTTGAACTTTGGAGATGCAAAACACAATCCAGGTATGTGGCTTAACATAGCTTAAAGTTTACAAGAATCAGTTTTGTGTAATATAGGACCTTTAAAGTTTATTTTGCTAATGTTCAGTACAATTGATTTCCTTTTACTAGGAGAGAAGAGTGTGGTGGAGGCCATGGGAACCGCCGTGGGAAACAGCGATGTGTGGTTCCGATTCAACGAAGGCATGTCCAACGCGGTCAGGAGAAATGTCTACATTCGGGAACTACTCTAACCACCTCCCCTCCCTCAGTACTATTACTACTACTACTACCAAATGTATTTTATTTTTGTACAAACATACCAATTCATGTATACCAGTTAAATTCAAAACAGTCTTTATTATGATAGACAGTGTAAAGAACCAATAAAAACGTGACCAGTTCTCCGCAGTCCTTCACACCAGTCCCCCTAAAAGCTACTCAGTGCTGCAGGACATCCACACATAAATAAAAGCATTCACAGTCTAATAAATAAATAGCTGAAAAGATAATCCTAATGTTTTTCCTTTTTAGTGCATGATTGTATAGTTCCTATTGTGCATATGTGCGCGGTGTTTGGTGCTCCATCAGAGGATCACACATTTGCCCTTCTCCACCCATGGGTTGGCTCGCATCAGCTCCGGGTTCAAGAAGGGGTCCTCACACACGCAACCTTCAATCCACTTCACCAGCCTGGGGGACAAAAAGAGGAAAATGTGAATTAAAAAAGAGTTGTAATTCATTACATATAGCAACACACAGAGTTGGGTACTATTCAGTTACATTTACTTGAGTAACTTTTTAATTTAATTGAATTTTTATAGTAATTTTCTAGCAGCATACTTTTACTACTACTTGAGTAATATTTTTATTGACTAGCAGTACTCTTGAGAAAATATTTTGGCTACTCTTCCTGTGAGCTTTGTTGACGATATGAAATGATCTGAACGATTGTGTTTCTTGCACTGATATGATTTATTTGGTCTATTTTTTGTGTCTATCCTTTGAAAACACCAGATTTTGTGCATTATTTAATGTTTTGCCCTTCAAATTACATACATACATACATACATGTATTAACTTTAAATTATAAATCGGAAGACACATTCAAACAGTTACGCTTGAAGTTACTCTTATTTGAGTAGTAGATTTCCCAAATAGTTTTTACTCTTACTTGAGTAATTTCATGGACCACTACTTTGTACTTTTTACTTAATTATACTTAAACTAATACAATTTTTAATTTTAGTGCATGTTCAAGAACAGGAGATGGAAATTAGGGCTGCACGCTATGAGAAACAGATACATAATATTTAATAATTATGTGTTGTATTGCAATGCAAATTATTGTGATGTTTTAATCTACTTTTTGGCACAGTAAATTCAGTAAGATTAAAACAAAAAGAAAATCAGGTTTACTTGTAGATTTGGCAAAGTACAGCTGATTGGGCCTTAGCTTGAGCTTGATATGTGTATAAATTTAACAAATTCAAATTGATAAAATAATAACAATAATTATATCAAAACAGTTTATTGTGGTTTAATAAAAGCTTGAGAATGTCCACACAAATATTCACAAAGAATTTAATTCACAATACAGCTAAAAAATGTAAGGGGAAACCAGGCTACCTTGGTTAGCCATAGCTAGTTCCCTGAACAGGTGCAGGATCATCCCTTACTCCATTGTACTCATCTAAAAGATACTATACCAGTAAAATGTATCACTTGCATCTTTAACTTCTAGTCACTTTTTGGCCCTACTATTTAGACAAAAAGAACAGTATTGCAGTTATCATATTTTTGCAATTTTGTGTTCATGTTTTGTGCAAGATTTTAATCTTAGTCAGGACCTTTTTAAGAGGACATTTTGGCACATCTCATGGTTTTCTAAAATATGGTTATCAAGATCATAAAAATACACTGGTGAGTTTTAAATTCCAGATGGGGGAGGGAATCATGTTTTCCTATTGATTAAATTATACTTTGCCATGAAATATCTAAAAGGTTGGACCTGGTTGAACAAAGTTGAACCTGACAATTTCTATGACTTACTAGACCCAAGAACTCACTATATTACAACAAAAATCTGCATTTTAACTAAATCTATTTCTGTCTATTAAAAATGATTGGCCTATATATACAGTAGAATGTTGTGATGATATGCAAAATTACAATATCAGCTAATTGGACGGCACTGATTAAACTAAAACTGTTAAAAGAGGTGAATGACAGATATTTTCATAGATGTTAAATTAATAGTTCTGCACTTTTTTGTATAATTTTACATTGTACACACGTCTACAATACTTCAACCTGAATCTCATGAATTATACAGTACATATAAAGGCACAAATACATTTTATGAAGGACCAAATTATCACAAACACTGAGAATTTTGCCGCTCGGATCAAATCATTAAGCAGTGGTTTGTTCAGTGTGCCAATAATACTCAATAGTCAATCTTGGTGTAGCAGTTTTCAGGTGAAGGAGCTGAGACTGGACGATTATTCTCCACTTTGTTAACGCCACAAACCCTGTACTGACCGGTTCAAATCAATGCACCATCTCTGCCAAATGTCTGAGTGTGTATTGATTTGTTGTACTCACTCTGTGACGGTTACAGAACACTTCTCTCGGGTGATGGCCCGCTGATACTGAAGGCTCTCCACTTCTCTCCTCATCTGTGGCACGTCCATCTCCTCCATGATGCTAAACCCCAAACACACAAAGGATCAGTATTTGAGCTGACTTAATTGTGCGTTCATGTAATTTTGTAGAACTTCCATCATTTTGGATTGTTTTTTTATTTTTCGTGTTTTTTTTTAAATCATTTACAGCATTACAGAACAAAAACAAAACATAGACCACGACTACATGGGTCATGACAGGAAGGGTCCGAGCTGAAACCAAACCAAAACGTACCAAACGCATGAACAAGTTTACGTTCACAACTCCACTCACTGTACATATAAGAGACAAAATATAAATTAAAATAAACAAAACTCAATGCACAATTCAATAACTCCAGAGCTCCATATTTTCCAAAACACAACACCCTATACTCTTTTAAAAAGGCTTCTACTGTGTTGGACTGTTTAAAATCATCACTCCAATAGTTCCACAAACCAAACCCTCTACCAGAAACACAATCACTTTCTTCCTAGTTCTTTTTTTTTAAGATGCCAGTTTAGATTTGCTTTTTTTTTTTTTTTTACTGTGTATTATATTACAAAACGACTAATATGACTGACACCTGACTTGAGTTGTGTTTCGTTTCATTCAACCATTTGAGTAATGCTTTATTATTAGTCTGTATCCAAAGCTCAAAATGCTCTGTTCCACATTGCGATGTCATCCTTTGCTACCTTTGGCTATCTTTAAAATTTTGTTTGGTAGAAATAAGCAATTTCCAGGGCTGAAATTACCTAAATGATTTCAGTGAAAGTGTATGGAGTTTAAAACCACAATGGAGCACTTCCTATATTACCACATGACATCACAAAGTGGGACAGAGTGTTTTTAGTTTGAGAGAAGAACTCAGCCTAAATGCATGTTTTTGATGGGGAAGCAACATTATAACAGATCTGAAAATAGCATAATATGGGCCACATGTGAATGAAACAAAACACAACTCCTGTGATGAGGAAACAACATTATAACATGGATCAATATGGGCCTTTTAACCTGCACTCTAGTGTAAGGGGCAAAGGATGTCCAGGCCTTTTCGCAATTCACTTATTGAAACATGAGGGCCACAGTTCTTACCAGTCAATACACTGAGTGAGTCAGATGAGTGCATTCAGCTCGACAGCACCCAAACACCTTTGAATAAGGCTTAAGAACATTATTATTATTGTATTACTATTCAATGTTTGTTAGTGAAGTTTTGATTGTATAAGCACTTAAGCTACTGCCAATGATCATTTGGGACAATTCAACAGAAGCTTGAGGGCCAACAAAAATCTGTGTGAGGGCCGCATTTGATTGGACAACCCTGCTCCAGTTGCTATGGTTCCACTGCAAGCTAAATTAGAGGGCTATTTTTGTCACTGCTCTTTGCCGGGATTCCTGTTTTTAAATAACCTAGCAGACGTACGTTTGAATAATATCACCTACACTGAATTTTAGGAGAGACATTTAGTGGTGCATGCATTTATATTTATGTGCAGGGCTATAAATAATGGATGAACTTTTTTTCCAGTTCACTTACAAGAAGTATTACTATATTGACATGTGCTCTAGGCCTGATCTGTGCACCTTCTACAATGCAAATGAGGTCACGACTGCCTGCAGTTTCAAATGTAGTTTACATTTTGCAAGGCAAAACAGGGGCTTGTTTTTCCCCTTAAAAAGATGATTGTTGTAGTAAATATATTTCTATGAATTTAATCACTGCTTTTTATGTTTTTTTTCCCCTCAGTATACCAAATCTAGAAGCTAAATCCATACAGATTGACTGCTTTGTTGTTCGTAAGGTGACAGATAGCAATTAATTGAAATTACGGCATTTTAATTAGCCGCTTTAGAAGACTGTAAGAATTCATTGATAGGAATGTAGGCCTACACATCCAGAGTTTTGCACGTACCATAGGGTGTATTAGGCCTACTTCATATTCTCCATCTTCCCAGTGTGCCTTAATAGAACTGCCCCGCCCTGATCCATCAAAAGCACATTAGTGTGGAGTATCTAGCTCCCCACTGGAGTCTCACTAGCACGCACGGAGCACTCCAGCCCTGCGTACTGGAAGCACCCCTCCCCCGCACCGGAGCAGCCTCTCATCGCTCTAATGGCTCTAAGTAGGTCGGCTGCCTGCATCCCTCCTCCACCACCATCCTCCACTATCCAGCATCCATTCTCCGGTCCAGCTGCGCCCAGATGTTCCTTCAAAATCATCTTAAACCTCCTCCTTACGCCCCACTCCTGTGCTCAACATTAAAAAGGCTATGATCAAGCTAACACTCCGGGTTATGCGTTTATATCCGGTATTTTTAGATCATTTTCGTGAGTACAAATTGTAAACAAGATGCTATTTCTGGCAACACATTCAAAATCGAGAAGTAAAAGCTTCATAAAGGTAATAATCTGTCTTACCGTAGAAGCTAAGGGTAAAGCGGGGTGCTGTGAGTCGCTAGCCGGTGGTACGCAGCTGGTCTGGTGCGTTTGGAGCGAGGAGCGGCGCAGTGGTTCCCCCGCGGATGAAGTCACGAAGTCGGCTACCGTCAGTGGTGGATGTCCGGCGGCAGGGCACTCCCCTCTGCTGGCGACAGGAGGCGGAGACACGCGGGCAGGCTGCTGCTTTGACTGACAAAACGGCCGTGGTGGATCATTCACCTGTGCGTAAAATGTGCGCACGGAGAGAAAGGCACGCAAATAAGGACGGCTCCGCAGGGAAAACAGCTAATTTCCCTGTCAGATGAGGAGGGCGCGTCCGTGAAGACTGAATACATGATTAGTGCACTATTGTAGTCCGTCTAATTGTGACAAAGTAGAAGGGGTTGTGTAGAACTGTTGCCAGCCTCAATTTATTCTTTGCAGAGTGGGACATTTTAAGTGAAATATTTTCTTTTCAATATATATCTTTATATATATATATTCTAAATACACAAGTGAAACTATAGGTTAGGCATAAAGGCTGATGAAGTTGCTTTGTAGCACAACAGGGGGTTGTGGAAAATATATACAGAAGTCTGCTTGAAAAAAAAAAAAAATTTGTAAGGTAGCCACACAAAAATAATTCTATAACACATCTTACATGGAAAAATGTAGGCCAAGCATTCATAAAGTTTTAGAAAATTTGATAAATAAGTTTTCTTTCAATGCCCTTGTGTATACAACATTTGCAGGATGGACAGTATTGACAACATAGAAGACAACCTTTCTTTAAAAGTTTTTATTTTATTAAAAACTTTCAGTCTTTGGCAGAGCATTTCCTAGTTCCAACTCCACAATGCTCTTTTCATTAACCCAGTAAGGTCGGTGTCAGCATCCTTTGTGCAAACCTAAAAACAAACCACATATTAGACCAGCACATAATGCAAGTGAAAACACTGAAAACATTTGCTTTGAATTCTCAGAAACAGGGTAGAATCAGGAGCCTGTAAAGCTCTCATATGAGGTGTCAGAAATATGTAAGTGTTTCATCACTGGATGTGCTCAAAATAGATAGTAATCATACTGTATCTTACCTTTATACTTAAACCCTACAGGGTTGTTTTTGCTCCACTTCCAAAGAAAAACCTACAATAAGATATACATTTTAAAACATGTGCAATGGCAAGAACAAAACAGAATTCTGATTTCTAAAAGCCTCAGAACTAAAGCAGTGGAATCAAAAGCTGTGAGCAGCTTTCATACGAGGTGTCAGAAAATTAAAAGAATGTCATCACTGGCTAATACGATTGACAGATAACAATTTAGGAGACTCACCAGCGACCCCTCTTGGAAATTAGTTGGAAGTATCTGCTTCTCTGTCAGTTCACACGATGGTCAATGCTCCCTTGCTCCCTCAACTGTTGGGAAAAATAAATTATTAAACTATATTCACAAAGAACACATACCAGGATTTAAAAAAATAACTAAAAATCCAGTCTATAAAAATGGCTCCCTAAACCATGTGCCTCAGTCTTCTTGATTAGAATCATGAGCTGTTTTTAGCTCTCATATGAGGTGTCAGAAAATATCTAGTTTTTCATCATAGGCAAAAAGTAGAACCCAAAAAATACATTCAAATATCTTACCTTTTATTTCCAGCAAGGAGACTCCATGTGTTCTGGATTATGGACTTCCCTTCACGCGGAACCTAGTGCTAAAGAAAAAACATTTAGTCAAAAATCATGAATAATAATATTACATTTACTCAGAATCCTGATAATCATTAAGGAGTAGAGAGATATACCTTCATGGTTCATACAGCCACGTGTTGCACTCAGCTGTCCTCGTGTTCTCCTCACCATTGCCTGTCCATGTTGTAGCTCATCTATTTTCTAAAACGGTTTTTGTTGCATAAATCTTGATAAACTCTTCACAGCCAAAGTTTACCACCTGCATCTGCAGCATTTCGCCAATATTTCCTCCGATCATGTTGGAACAGCAGTGTTTCAGTGTTGTTTCCGCGGTTGGCAGATTGAAAAGACAAGAGAATGAATTTAGTGCTGCTAAAAGCGCTAATGGATGCTAACGTCTCCAAGTTTGCTGCCAACTGAACTGCTAAGACATTAAGGAGTGCAAAAATAGGGTAAACCTCGTTGAAAAAGAATTCCCACTGCTGGTGAAAGAAAATAAAGATCTCAAAAAACGAGTCACAGAGCTCGAGAGATACAAGGCCTGCAAGAAAAGGACGACGACAACACACGTGAAGAGCTCATCCACGTCCTGTGAGAGCCAGCGCCTCAAAGGCCGCGTCCATCTCTACTATTGCTGATAGTATAATTGTTATCACCATGACGACATCTGGAGGACGACTATAAAACAAACCAGCATCCGCTTCAAGCAAGACTACTGCAAAGTGAAGAGAGAAGCCCGGGCAGCAACATGGCCTGAAATAGAGCGAGCACGAGCAGCGGGGAGAAGCATGTCGAGGCGCTGTGAGCGGAGCGCGTGCGCGTACGGGGTTTGAAGCCCACTTCATGCGTCCCGCAAATCGAGACCGTGTTCCGCATTATCAGTGCTTGCTCAAAAAAATCTATCTTCCCGAGCCCCAGGCAGCCAAACGAACATTATCTGCAGTGTTTCCCACAGAACACTGGTTAGGCAAGGCGGTGCTGCCGAGGGGGTAGGGTGCGCGGGGCGGAGATTCTGTGCGCCGACTGTACTTTTGTGAGGATTCACGTGGTTTGGAGGCACGTAGTCAAAGCGCCTTAACTGTAAAGTGCTGCGTTAAACACTGACTTCATTCACAGTTCACGTAAACGTGTCCCAAAGTCATTTAAAGTGAATAGATTGCAATGGAAAATAAATACAATTAAATAGCTTCAATGCTAAAATTCACTAAACCGAAAAAGGAACCTCTTATCTCAATCGTGACGAGCCAAATCCCAGCACTTGAAAAAAGAATCATATACAATTGGCCAAGTCCTTTTGTCCTGGCATATTTTACTAGTGACTTTAGACCTGCTTCGTTCCAATTCAAAATTGTCTTTCTTTATAGCATTCCAGTATTGAGGGAAAAAAAACACATCTCTGAAGTGCTGACAAAACTTACAACAGCTACGGCTACATCGTATTTTGGCCACAAGAGGGCGCCGTCTGCCATCTCAAAAGCCTGTGCCAGTCTCCATTCGTGTAACAGGCCGCATTCTTCATGAATCCAAAGCATCACGATGTTTAGGCCACAGTAGCGCCGCAAATTCATCTGAAGCCTGCCACACCCTGACCAAAAAGCTCCAAAAATACCTGCTTTATCCAACAGAAGCACAATTTCTTTGTGTTTCCTTGAAAAAAAAAACAATGTCTACAAATATCTGCCGTATTCTTTTTAACAACTGTAGAGATAAGGATTCATTTATCCTTTTTTCTAAAACATTTGAAGCTCAAGATGTGCAGAGCTGGCAGAAAAATATGTCAAAGAGTTTTTGACCAAAAAGCATTGATCTTGTGCGGTGGCAGTTCAAGGTCAGCGCCCCTCCCACGCTACGTGTGTTTCTACCTGTGTTTCTACCTGTGTCCTCCCTCCCGCTGTCTAACGTGAGGATTGTGGGGTGGGTGATTGTGCCACAGTAGGGCCGCTCATTTGGCTTTTTGGCCGCGGGCCTGAGTGACACAGCTAAGCGCACCCCGCTACTCTAAATCTCTCAAACACTTTTCATGTGTTTGCATTTGCACACGCAGCTGATATATCCATATCCATGACCATATATATATCATATCCATGACCAGAGACCAACAAATCTGTGGAGAGGCGAGCCCCCTCAGTAATGCACGTTTTTCAAGGTATTTTTGAGTAATATTTACAACTGTAATGAAATAAATGCTACAGATTTGAATCTAATCCAGGTGTCGCCCAGAGGCTTGGTGTAGTTATGACATCGCTCGATGGTGTATTTATGCAGGTTGATGTAAACAAAGACTTTTTTGAAAGCAATGCTCTGCACACGATGTTACAGTATTCTGGAAAACGGATGAAGGGAAATATTCTTTTCTCAACATACCCAGCTATGTGTAAATATAGCCTGAAAATCTAGAAAATGGTTTGAATTCTGTCAGGATCCCATTACTCACCTGCAGTCCATTGGTATTCAACCTTCAACCTCTCCAGTACAAAGAACTGGCACAAGCATCTGTACGCTGCCAGAACGTCAGTTTATTCTCAGAGGTATGTACTGTTTGGCCCAGGTTGTGTCTGTAGTTTTTTCTTAATAACTCAGTAACTTAGTTTTTGCATGTTTTCTTCAGACCCTGTTTTGGACATTACCTGTATTGGAATACCACCCCAGCCACCGACCCAGCTCCCAGCAGTTTGCTTTTTTATTTTGCAACAAATAAAACCTGTACATTTTGAGTTTCATTGTCTGTATCATTTGATACCCCAGTTGCTACAACAAATTCAGATTTTTTTTTAACTATATACACTCACTACAAAAAAACAAAAACTATATCTAAATAAGTTAAAAAGGCTTACATTAAGAACATATGACTTTATTTGAGTACGTTCAACTTGACAAGTAAAATGATCGACCAATGGAACGAGTGTGTTTTTCTTAATTTAAGCAACATTCGATTTTGTTTCATAAGTTCAAAGAGTTGTTATTTTTCTTATTGGTGTAAGAAAGATGTGTTTTCATTTTCAACTACAAAAAGTCCTGTCTCATTGGTATATAATGTCAGCCTGATTCATCAGACGGTTTCACTTCGTAGAAACCATCTGACCTGGCAGCATTAGGATTTCTTTGCTCGACAGTAGGCGGGTACTTTTTTTGTTTAACCAGTCCCTGCTATTTGGTCGTGATGTATGTAATGCGTCACTAACAGGGCTAACTGATATATATTAAGCTTTTCCCAAATCCCATATAGGAAGAAGGGCAATAACGTCTTTTTCCTTGATAAAATTCACCAAACATTCTCTTTGTTCCGGCTTTAAAACCTCAATCTCGGGAATCGTTGCCAACACAGAATGTATGGCTTCGTCTACATCCATCTTAACCACTTTGTTTACTGTTGTGCTGTATCACAAAAGGGACCCAGACAGGTGTTTGAGTTTGACTCCATGGCTTCACAATCTTCGCTGATTAGCCGGTGCGCGGTCTACATCTTCCGGGGTTCTTGCAGTCTCTCTAGTGTATTCTGATTCCTGACCTAGTCGCTGGAGAGAAATGAAATTGAGTGGAGGCACTAGGTGGCACCAGCCTGGCTAGGAGTGACTAGGCACAAAAAGCAAAGATAGAAATAGAGTGCCAAAAATGAAGCTGAAACTAATAAAACATGTTACAGTTTTTCTCCGTTGGTTTGGCTTATTTCTTGAAACAGAAATGACATTCTTAAAACTGCAGCATCATTTGGCCATTACAGCTCACAGGCAAAAGCTCATATCTCTCCCAAAACTGTTTATACATGCTTCAAAACTAGATTTCTTTCCCATATAAAGAGTCACAGCATCAAAATGGCAAAGATCCTTCTCAGTTGCTTTGACTCTTTTGCATTCACTTAGTGCTTTTGTCAAAATAACCTGGATGGTTCAGCATAGCACCATGGATTACCTTCAGAAGCTCATCTCTCTCCCAAAACACTTTACCCATGTGTCAGAACTAAACTCCTTTCTCATAGAAATAGTCAGTGGCCCCAAAATGCATCATCCCTTTGGCCTCGTGTCAGCACTGCAGCTCAAAATGCCTCGATGTTTTGTCACTATGGCAGAGGTCGAACGAACACAATACAGTTATGGATAAAACTGAAAAAAGGATTTCACAGTAAGAGTGAAAGTTTGACACCAGACACACTGCTCTCACACTGCCAAGGAAAGTCTAACCATTTTATTCACACACTTAAAGTCACATAAAAAGAAAATGTATACAGTATTCTGTACATCTATCAATTATAAACACACAAAAAAAAACCCCAAACCATTATATCTAGCCTACAGTGCTGTAAGTAAAGTTTCACAACTACAATAGCACTTTCATTGCTGTCGTCACCCTCCCTCTCCTTCATCCTCCTTCTCTTCTTCTTGCTTGAACAGAAAGTTACACAAGGCTAAAGGGAGCCAAAGCAGTCAGTTAGTCTTAACCTTCATCTCAGCTCCATTTCTTGCTGCTCGCTCTGTCTGTAGCTGTGAATGTTTTAATCTAAACATGCAGAGAACGCTGATATTTGCAATTTATCCACGGGATAACGTTACGTCTGATGTTAGCTAACTAAGATATAGGTGCAATTTCCCATTCAGAGGAGGTATTTCTACACAATATTACACAGCAGTGTTCGGTTCCCAAATTCAATATGTCAAGACAAGACATTTTTACAATACATTTTAATTAACCCACCTGTTGATCGCTGTTGTAGCTCCTTGTTGTGCTATTACTCCAGTTTTACCCTCTGCTACATATTTAAGCATGTGCAGTCTGGATCGTGATTAATGTTTCTTCTGCCCGATAAATAATGTCTGTGAATTGATAACGTATTTTTGACAGTAAAGTCCCATCTGTGAATGTGTATTCGTACTGATGAAAGCATAATCGTAAATTGATCATGTCGTGATTGCAATTCTTGACGTCGTAACTTTTCAGTTCGTATTCTGATGGATAAAATACACACAATATATTTTATGTATGACTGGACTCATTCGAGAGTTTACGAGTTTACTTTTACTACAGCCAAATATGCACAGATTTCCCAAATACACACGGATTCTATGGACACAAATATTTCTGAAAGCTTTCTTACTCCATAGTTATGATGCAGCAGTAAAAAAGACAGACGGAATTACATAGACCATGATCCTTTGCTCCATTTCAGTGCAAACTACAAGAACAAATAACAGTTCTAAGCACTTTTAAGTCTTAGTTCTTTGGATTAAGTCTTGTCCAAAAAATATCGCAATAAATATTGTACCATGAGATGTATATCATGAAAATATCGTAGAGAGAGATTTGGATATTGTTACATTCCTAATCGTGAGCCTCCCCACGATATCGCAATAAATATTGTACCGTGAGGTTCATACCATGACGATATCGTATCGTGAGACTTGGATCTTTACTACCCTACTTTACTTTTCAGTCCTGTTAAAAGATGTAGTGGAATAGAAAGTACAAATACATGCTCTCAATTGTAATGAAATGTAATGTACTTAAGTATTGTACTTTGTCTGCCAACCAATATCTGTGTAATCCATCGTTTGTCCAGGTAGGCAACAGACCAAAACACTAAACTAGGGTGACCAAACGTCCGTTTTTCCCCGGACATGTCAGTTTTTTGCGTCCTGTCCGGGGCGTCCGGGGTTTAATTTCATAAAGCGATGTAAATGTCCGGGTTTTCATTACCGTTCATTAGGCCATTATATTGAGCGTCTCTCGTAGCTCTCTGTAACTCAGAAGGAGCAAGCAGACACAAACAGTTGGTCAGTCTGCAACATGCCGAAGCACAAATGCACTTTTAACAGTGACTTGGACAAGAAATTCTCATTTCCGTTCCGGTCGGGACAAGTCAGAGGCCATGTACACAGGTTGCGAGGTGACAGTAGCTCAATGTCAAGGCCCCAACCCCCACCCCCAGTAAGGTGTCTGGGTTTTCACAAACAGAAATATGGTCACCCTACACTAAACACTTTTCAGAGGAAATACAAGAAGCAGATTATTACACAAAGTGAGTTACAATGTTACTTCCGAACTTACCATTTTGTGGCTTTGATTATCTGGAAGATGAATGCAATTTTAATGGTAAATAAAGAAGTTTGGCCAGTCACTTAGAGGAAGTCACTGTTACTACACTCAGAGCTCCAGCTTCTTCAAAACTCAAGTCTATGTCAGTGGTATAATTCAGGATGAATGTATTTTAGCAAGCCCTTTTCTTTATTTCATTTTACGTGTTGTAATTGTGGATTCTGCTCTTTGGAAATATGTTTATTCACATCTTACTAATCTTAATGCTGTGTTCAGGTGAGTCAAGATTTTTTAAGCTCTCATCTTTTTCAACCAAGACTTGTTGATTTATTAAGAGTCTGAAATAATAAGCTATCTCCCCTCGTAACTGTCTGCTTTACTCATCACCTGGTCCCTGTTGACCAGATTTTGTATTCACCCTGTGTGTCTGTGTGTCTGTGTGTGTCTGTCTGTCCACCCGCGATAATTCCACCATTTATGGTCACCAAATTTGGTACATGGGTCAAACCCCCGTGCCTGATGCCTCAAAAAAGTTTGGTGACCATCCGAGGTCATTTGAGGTCACACGGGTCAATCGAAAGGTCACACCATTATAAAGGACAGGCAATTTCGGCAATTTCTGAACCATCTGCGGCCTAAAAATATTAACCTAACCTAATATTAATCTAAAATATTCACCCAATCATCACACAATCATCATTTTGGTCATAACTCTGTGAAGGATCAAGCGAGAGCAAAGGGAATGTTCTCAAAATCCCAGAAAACTTATTATCAATTTATAATTCTATGCATTTATAAAGTAAAATGTGAATAGTTTTTGAGATAATCATTAATTATAACAGTTCCTCTTTCAGTGTATGCCATTAAAATTCGAATCTGGGGCAGATTTTTTACATTCAAATAGCTCTTATTCAGAAACTAGAGGAACTATTGAAATAAGTAAGGTATCAGAATGTAGTTAACACTCCAACAGGGTAAAGTTAAACCTGTGATATTCTTTCAAGTTGTTGACAAAAATTTTTAAAACTCATGTCGGTAACGGAGGGAATGAAATATGCAGCACTTTTTGGGCAATAAATATAAACAGTGATAACTCTTGGTTCTCACTTACATATCCTTAACAAACTGGTTTGAATATTTGCTTCATATAGTTTTCTACCATATGGTACAAAATTAGGTTGAAAAACTCTTACTTTTTGACTCATGAGATTTTTTATTAAGAAAGGTCATGGTAACAGAGGGAAAAGTAACGGAGGGAAAATTGTTCAAGCAAGTAGAAGGTGCAGGATTTTGCATCATTTGTCGCTTTTTTCTTCTGAATACTTTAATATTACTTCAAAATGAAAGGTAACTTTTTCTATAAAATATGTCAGTCCTTCCAAGCAAATTTTTATCATTTTAAATATATTTTTTTTGAAAAATCATATACCTTCATCAACAGTTCAAAGATCGAATAACACAAGATATGATGAAATACATCAGTTTATTTACATAATTTGCAGGTCTTTGAAATTTGGGAAATATTTTTTGTTCCATGTTTCATACATGGTCTGTTTAAAACATATATAACTTTAGAACCAAAAATGGTACAGAAAAAAGGTAAACAGTTTCATAAACTAGAGTACATATGTATCTGTTCAATACATTTTTATATCAGACGCATTAACTTGAATTTTTGGACTTGCTGTTTACTTCTGCTTGACCGGGCCCAGAGATAACATTTCCCCACAAGGACAGTTAAGTCGTTTGACATTTAAACACTGAACTTCAGGAGTGTACACTATTGCTTTTCTCTGTAGACTACTTCCCCTTAAATTTCACCTTAATAACTTCATGAACTTAATAACAAACACATTTTATACAACTACCCCACCGCTCTTTTTCAGGTGTTTCAACAAACGCCAAAGTCCCCAAGACGTACAGGTAAAATCTAATCTAACACATTTTTGCCTCGGTGGAGATTAAACAAACCTAAAAGTGAATGTGACAATGTGTCCAGGTTTAAACCACAGAAGAAGAAACCATCCATTATGGGGAGCTTGACTTTTCTCATGTGACTCCTAAACACGTCCCCAGTGCAGAAGAAGAGGAAACTGTCTACTCCCAGGTTCAGGGTTCAAAGCCTGTAGAGACCAGCGGACAAGATGAAGATGATTCTCAAAGCCTTTATGCCAATGTAAAGAAAGTTAACTCAGGACAATCATATTCAGCTCAAAATTAGTGCTGCTACACTGCCATCTGCTGGTGTGATCATGACAGACTACAGCATGACATCCTCATATTTACTCATACCAGTGTTTTTTAAAGGTAGACTTATATAAAACTTTATATAACTTACTTACTGTACTGGAGGGTACATCATCTGTTATTCACCATCAAAATGTTAGTGTGTAGCCTGGAATGTTCCACAGTTGGACATTAAACTTATCTTTTCTTTATCTAGGCATTTTTATTGCACTTGCTTTTTGAATTCTGTAAATAATATATGTACTGTTTAATCATGTAGAATATAATGTGATATTGAACCCACTGAACAAATGTAACAGCCTGAATTGAGCGTGGTGTTTCTTCCTTACTTTTCTGAATGTTAGGACCTTTCTGCTTTGTGGAGTTGACTATTTTTTTAAGTGCATTATTTGGGTTTTAGATTGATTTATGGCCAGCCTCCACCAACAGCACCACTTGTGTTTATCAATATCAATAGCATAGAGCAAAATGCCCACTGTCCATGTGCACCTAACTTTGTTTTCAAAAGCCATGTCATTTATGAAGACCCAGAACAGGCTTGGGGACAAAACATGCCATTGTTTTACACCAGTAGGTATGTGGAACCACTCGGTCTGTAGATCATTCACTTGAACACATTCCATACATCCTGCATAGAGGGATTTTAATGCATGGTATGATACATCAGCTGTGTGTGCAAATGTAAACACCTGAAAAGTGTTTGCACCAGAAGAAATGTGAATGCTGCTCTGAATGCTCCATTATCATTATCAGAGTGAAAAGTAAATGAAGGGAAATGTCTCTTTTTTTAAAACTTCCCGGGTATGTGTAAATGGGGCCAGAGATGGTGCCGTCACAGATAACTGAATAGAAATTTAGGCCTGTGTTTACACGTACATGGGTATTTTTAAAAACTGAGACATTTCTGTTTGTTTGTTCCCATCTTTTTCACGCAAACGGTGAATTTGCCTCTGAAAACAAATTTCTCTAAAAACTGAGGTGGAGATTCTGGAAAACTATGGTTTGGCGTTTGCGTGTAAAGTGAGATAAACAGAGTTTTAGGAGCTGGTGCGCCAAAAGTGTGATCTGTGTTTACCTTTTGCTCTGATGATGATGATGATGAAACATTCAGAGCAGCAGTCAAATTTCTTCTGAGGCAAACACTTTTCATGTGTTTGCTTTTGCACACACAGCTGATGGATCGTATCCATGACCAGAGACCAATGAGGCTCGGAGGTCAGCAATTTTACCACCACTTCACGCTCAGTAATGCACATTTTTCAAAGTATTTTTGAGTAATATTTACAACTGTAATGAAATAAATGCTACAGGTTGGAATCTAATCCAGGTGCCGCCCAGAGGCTTGACGTAGTTATGATGGCGCTCGGTGGCGTATTTATGTGGGTTGTGTGATGTATTCTGTTATAAAGTTTGCTTTTATTGTGAAACCCCGAACTGGAAGTTCTAACATGACTCTGTAAGATGTATATAGCAGAGAGACAAATAAAAGAAGAGGAATGTTGAGTAGCTCTAAGTGTGTTGCTTGAAAACCTACGCATAAAACTACAACAGGTTGAAACTTTTTTGAAAACGATGCTGTGTGCACAATGTTATTTTGGAAAATGGAGAGAGGGAAATATTCATTTCTCAACATACCCAGTTATGTGTAAACCTGAAAATCTAGAAAATGGCTTGAATTCTGTCAGGATTCCTGTTTTTTCCCTCCCACTACTCACCTGCAGTCCATTGGTATTCAACCTTCAACCTCTCCAGTACAAAGAACTGGCACAAGCATCCGTACGCTGCCAGAACGTCAGTTTATCCTCTGCGGTATATACTGTTTGGCCCAGGTTGTGTCTCTAGATTTTTTTTTTTGCCTTTTCCTAAGTAACTCAGTTTGTTTGTTCATGTTTTGGACATTACCTGTGTAACCCGGGTGGTTAGCAGGGACACCTGTGTGTCGCTGTGCGTGGCTCCCTGCGTCACTGATTAGCGATTAGAAAAGAGTGCGCACGCGGCTCGTAGATGTACATGGTGCATGTAAGTAGCAAAGCTGTTTATTCTGAGAATGTCCGCTGTTAAAAACTTGCCTTAATGTGATGTTTGTGGAATCCAGGTTCAAGGTGCTGAGTGGAGTTGGTGGTGATGGCGACCGCTCCGAACATGCTCCGAGCACCATGTAGAGTGCCCCCTTCCTCCTTCTAAACTTTCGGTAAATTCCTTTTTGTTGTATACCTGGGGTGGTGGTCGCTAAGGCCGACCTGAAGCTAATTTATTGTTCCCTGCGCAACAGATTGCAACTGCGGCTTTATTCTTGCTTTTTATTCCTTATCCTTGCTCTTAGTGTTGATTTTTATTTGAATGTTGTGAGACAATAGCTGAGATCTTAGAGAGGAAGTGCAATATGGCCAAGTTCTTAATGCAATGCAAGGTTAGACCTCAGGGTTAGCACAAGTCACTTTAACCCAGGAAGGCACAAGCACTTTTCACCATCTGGAACTCTATGCACTTTAAATTAAAGTCTACCTCAAATACCTTTGCACACACACTTATCACTTAGCACAGCATTCATGTTTACATAGCACTAGCACTTTAACTTACTGTAATTTACAAGGGTTGATTTGTTAGTTGTGAACCTAAAAGAGAATGAAATACTCTTTAAATGTTTAGAATATCAAATAAAGATTTGTAACTTTTTATACCACATCGTTCTTGTCCTTTTTTATGCCAAAATTATGAGTAGTTTAATAAGGGGGTCACTCGGTCACACCTGCATTCACTGAAAAAAAAAGGTTGCTGGATTTGCATAAAAAAGTTATGGAAAGCGGTTGCATGCAATAAAATAATGTTTAGGCTTTGAAACTTATTTCGATCCCCTCTACACATATTTTTCTCAGAACATGAATGTCACTTTTTCATGTTGATGAAATTTGATCAAATCATGCTGAATATGCAGATTTATCTTATGTTACCTTATCGTGGAATGTATAAGTATGTATAATTTAATTTAATTGATCTAATTCTGTAAAATAAAAATAAAAAACTGTCTTAAGTTTTCCACAGTTCTATATTGTCTTAAACAGAATCAAACACACAAAGAGCACAAGTACAGAGATACACAGTTTGGAGCTGGACGGTGTGAAGATTTATTCCAGTGAAGAAGCTCTGGTCTCTGCCTGTGGACACAGAATAACACATGATTACTTTACTTTATGATGATCTACTCTGTTCTACATATTTAAATACATTCAAAATACCTATAACAGACCAGAACAGACTCACAAGAACATCAGAACTGTATCTGCAGAAACAAAACTCACCGTGTGCTGCTTTTCTTCCTCTAAACGCAGTAACAGGGAGGGCATCTGGTATAAAGTCTCCTAGTGCCACATCACCCTGTAGAAACACGATAACTGTTTCAACAAGAAGTTCATTTTGAAAAATGTGTTTAAAATCATTTTAGTTGAGTTACTTACTTTGTTCATCTGTGGTCTGTGTTTTGTTGGTTCTCAAACATCTTCCATTTTTCTGAAACATCAACTATAACATTCATGAACTTCCCCACAGCTCAGCAGAGCTCTGGACGTCACTCTTTGTAGACGACTCTGGATCAAACACATTCAAATCTGAGTACAACTGTCACACTCTTGTAGATGGACAGTCAAATACAATTTGTTTCATGGAAACAGTCCTGACATTAACTCTAATTTCAAATAAAACACCACAAACATGTTTTAACAATGACGACATTCTAGTCCAGAGAAGCACATCAAATCTTTGAAAAGTCTTACCTCCAGATCAGCTCTCATAATCCTCCTGCTCCACACTGTGTGTCCTCTGCTCCTCTGACTGTCCTGTGTCCTGCTGCATTTGAACTTTTCCCTCCAAAAGTTTTGGGGAGGAGAATTTCAAAGGGAGGAGCCTCACCAGAAATTAACCTGATTAAAACATGCAGGTCTGACATTGGCCACAATCAAGTGACCTTTGTAAGATTTACATTTTGTTTAACCAGTCCCTGCAATTTGGTCATGATGTATGTAATACGCCGCTAACGGGGCTAACTGGTATATTAAGCTTTTCTCAAATCCTGTAGGAAGAAGGGCAATAACGTCTTTTCCCTTGATAAAATTCACCAAACATTCTCTTTTTTTCGGCTTTAAACCCTCGATCTCAGGAATTGTTGCCAACACAGAATATCTGTCTTCGTCTACATCCATCTCTCCCGCTTTGTTTACTGTTGTGTTGTACCACAAAAGGGACCCAGACAGGTGCCTGAGTTTGACGTCATGGCTTCACAGCTCTTCGCTGACTGGCCGGTACATGGTCAACAACTTCTGGGGTTTTTTCAAACCGTCTAGTGCAGGGGTGTCCAAACTTTTTTGATCAAGGGCCACATATCTAAACACAAATGAAGCAGAGGGCTGATCGAGGTTCGTAGACTGGTGCTCAATACAGTGAATAATTGAAATATGTGCATGTTTGACATGTTAGAATGAGCCATCAGTCTTTATTCATGTTAAGATCCTTAAAACCACACACTAAATATTAAATATTAGTTTTATCAAGGTAGATTTTCAATAAAAAAATAAAAAATTGCAGTAAAACGTTAATTTTTATTTGATGCGAGGTAATTTGGGCCAATTTACCTTGAAGCCTGAGGGCGAAGAAAAATTTGTCTGAGGGCCGCATACATCTTTGCACCGAAAAACAAGTGACAGAAATACCATCTTGCGTGCTGATAGTTTTCACCCTAAACCACTACTGTACAACATACCTTTTGGTCAGTTTCAACGACTAAAAAGAATATGCGATGACCCTGATGACTTTGACTCACAAGCTGATGAAATGTACAGTCGGTTCCAAACAAGGGGATACAGTATGAAAATACTTGACAGTGCCTTTACCGAGGTCAAATCAACAGACTGTAAAGATCTTTTTTGCAAGACAAAAACATCAAGCACCCCAAAGGACATTTCCTTCTATGCAATTTGGACACTTATTAGACACATAATTAAAAAGAACTGGAGGATTTTACAGAGCGACCCCACACTCCAACCTGCGTTTAATGACTTGCCTATGTTTTCCTTTAGGAGGGCACCAACCCTAAAAAACCAGCTGGTCCGAAGTTACCTCACCCCGACAAAAAGGGAGACATGGCTTTCAAAAAAAGACTGGAATGCATAAATGTGGAAACTGTAATCACTCTGGCAACGTCTTAAGATCCAACACCTTCACGGATGTATTCAGGAAAAAGATCTGCACACGCCAGCGCTTTGCCAACTGTAATAGTACCTACGTCATATACAGGCTCCAGTGTGAATGTGGATGTTTTTACATTGGACGTACTAAACGCAAGTTTAGAGAGAGATTGGCTGAACATAAATATGCCATCAGAATCAACAACGTACTTTACCCAATGGCAAAACACTACAAAGCTGCTGGCCATAGCACATCCAACTCCCTCAGGGGTATGATCATAGAGGTTATCCCCCAGGCTTCCCGAGGAAGAGACCAACTGAAATGTCTTTTTCAAAGAGAGACGTTCTGGATCCATACATTAAAGGCCATGGTCCTGAACTGAACTGAAGCCCCTCCCTATTTGAAGTATTTAAACTATTTGAACTGTGGCCACCATTATTGGGACCCATTAAGCCTCTTCGTGAATGATATGTCATGCCAATTGTCAAGAGAGGACAGGTTTGACAATTGGCCACCAAATACCCGGATATTTCTCATTACCTTTGTTATGAAATTTCTGCTTTCTTTTTCTTGATGATTGACTGAAACATTTTTTGAAGTGGTCTGTGTAATCTAAGGGATATATGTATTGTTTACTATTCTAGTTATTTATCTGTTGTGTTATGAATGGTATGTTGTCAATGCACTTGGATTCAACATGTAAATATTTCTGGAGATTTTGTTTGTCTTTTAACTATCACGTGTCTGGGGTCACGACCCCTATAAATGGTCACACCTGCTGCTCACTCAATCAGCTCTGATGAAGACTAAGTAGTCGAAATGCGCTGGCGTGACTATTAATAAATTCATCACAAATCAGAGTGCCTCTGCGATCCTTTTTTCCATCGTACAGAGAGATTTGGATATCGTTACATCCCTAATCGTGAGCCTCCCCTCCATATCATGAGCTTTCCCACGATATCTCAAAAAATATCGCACCGTGAGGTTCATACCGTGACGATATCGCATCATGAGACTTGGATATCGTTACACTCTTAGCTTTTACTTTTCAGTCCTGTTAAAAGATGTAGTGGAGTAGAAAGTACAAATACATATTGTCAATTGTAGTGAAAAAAAGTTAAAATGATCCACTGTAAAACGTACTTAAGTACAAGTTTTAGGTATCTGTACTTTACCTAAGTATTGTACTTTTACTTTTGTACTTTGTTACATTCCACCACTGCCAACCAATACCTGTGTAATCCCTCGTTTGTCCAGGTAGGCCCCAGACCAAAATACTAAACACTTTTCAGAGGAAATACAAGAAGCAGATTATTACACAAAGT